GCATACTTTCAAATAAAAAGGGCAGTTCTTTTCTGATGACTGCTTTTGTTAGTATGAGAGACAAAGGTGACATTTAATACTTGGCCAGCCCAGAGGAGTTTTAAACAAAGGAATTCTTTTCTAGCCCAATGCTGTACTTTCTGCATATATGGTTGCTTAAAGGGTTGTAGACTTGCAGAACACAATGAAAATTCAAATAAAACTTTTAAAATACCACACAAATTCAGACTCCATATATTTGAAGTGTTCAGCTCTGTTGGATTTTTGTTGTCCTTGTACTACCTTTTCGTTAGCACGGCTGTTCAAGATTTGGCTGCAGTTCACATACCAGCTACTGTGCCTAGTACTTTCCATACATTATCACATTTAATTTAACTCTTAAAGTAACTGTGAAGTGCTATTATTAGACCCTCTTATGTGTTTGTAGAGACTCTCACTGAGATTCAAGAGATATTAGCTATATATTGATCAAGATCAAAAGAGCTAGAAATGGCAGAGCTGAGGTTCTAATCTATACAGGATGCTGCCTTCAGAACCCTAGCATCGTTGTTTACATATCCTCCATGTGTAGACATTACATAGAAATTTTGATTTATGATTACAAAGACAATTACCTTTGAGGCCAGCCTGGTCTACAGAGCTAATTCCAGGGCTACACGGATAAACCCTGTCTCGAAAAACAAACCAACCATTTAAAGTAGGGAGCGTGGGTTATCCCAGTGGGTAAAAGTGGTAATGCCGTCTAATATATACAAAAATAAAACAGCAAAAAAGTCTGCCACCTAAGATAAAATTACTTAAGAACCACATAACAAAGAACAGTGGCTTGCTGCTCTACGTACCTATTATAAACGAAGAAAATAATATGACTAGTGAGTCGTGATTTGGTGATCAAGACTGTTCAGTTTTTTTCACTTTTTTTTATTATTTGTGAATGCCACCATAGAATTCACCCTAAAGCTAACTTCCTGTTAGTAGTTATAAGGAAAACAGAGAGAGAGTAATCATTGCATATGCTATCCCCAAAATGAAATCCTCAGAAACCACATTATATACTGCAGCCTTCAAGTTTCTGCACCACCACACACAGAATGCATAGAGGATAGAAAATGGAATTCAAATAAGGATCCTGGGGAGTTAAGTGGAGAATTCTCCTAAGCCAACAAAACCTTTCTATCATCATTCTAGCAATTTCAACAAAAGGTCAATGTTGTTTTCTGCAATGTATTAAGTTATGTAGACATAGGATTCAACATACCGTTTTATCCTAAATTTAAATTTGTAAGGCATTGCAATCTAAATTGCTATAGTGTGTGAGTGTACAGTATATATATAGTATATGAGGTATATATGTTGTATACATATATACATATGCTACTACATGTCAACATATCAATAATGGGCACAAGCAATTATAAAAATGAAGGAGTAGAACGCCAGATGTGGCTGCACAACCCTATAGTAGTTCCAGCACTTGGGCTGCTAAGGTAGGAGGATCATGAGTCTGAGTCTTACCTGGGCTATGTGATGAGTCCCTGTCTCAAAAAAATTAGCAGATGTTAAGTGTAACTAGGAAGAGATAAGAAATAAAATAGGAACATGCGGAATTTTCTTTCTGTTGACAGCTGGAAACTGCATTCTTGCCAGATGGTTCCACGAAGAGAAATGAAATTAAGGCCTGAATTGTCATAACTTCACCTAAAAATGTCAGGTTAGACTTTCCAAAATGTGCCTGTGTCTTCTCTACTTTCCTAGCCCTGAGTAAACCACATACCCTACTTACTCACATTCACTTAGACACAGCATCCCTCCTCTACCCTAGCTCCCCATTTTGGTATTCCCACATATGGACATGCCCAGGCAGTTCTTCTCAACCTGCAGGACTTACTCATTCTCCTAACATCTAAGGTCACATTCAAGTTTATGTTGTCATGCCTACTAACTGCTTTGAATCATTGTCAGCAGGTATTTTTTTATGATTACACATAAGTTTAAATTTAAGCAGCTTTTCACTGCATTAGAACTCCATAGTTTAGTAGCTATGTGACACTGGAGAAGTTGCTTAACCTCTTCATATCTGTATTTCCTTTTCTGAAAAATCATAATCATGAGATTATTATCAAATGTAAGGAGTACCTAAAACAACTTAAGCATTCCTATCAAGTTTCCTTTTGTTTTGTTTTTTGAAGATGGTTTCTCTGTGTAGCCCTGGCTGTCCGGGAACTAAACCAGGCTAGCCTTGAACTCACAGATATCTATCTGCCTTCCTGTGCCTCTTGCGTGCTGAGATTAAAGGCGTGCATCATCGGGTCTACCAGCTATCCTTATTGTTGTTACTATCAAGAATTCACTGCAGCCAGGTTGTGATGGCACAAGCCTTTAATCCCAGCCCTTGGGAGGCAGAGAAAGGCAGATGTCTGAGTTTGAGGCCAGCCTGATCTACAGAGTGAGTTCTAGGACACCTAGGGCTACACAGAGAAACTCTGTCCCCAAAACTAACAAACAAACAGAAAGGAATTCACTGCAAAGTCTAACACATTTGATTTTACTTCTAACCTTCAGAAGCAAGTGCTACTCCTGTGTATTGGGGTAGAGATGAGAACACATTTTAAAAGTTGTCTTTTAAATTAGGCTGGAAAGTCTTGGGCTATAGCATTGCTCATTAATGTTGGTCTAGATCACTAGCAGAACAAATAAACCACATAATATTGCTGATCATTATAATATTCAGGAAAAATATGCAAACAGGCTCGGGGCTGGAGAGATGGCTCAGTGGTCAAGAGCACTTATTGCTCTTGCAGAGGACCTGGGTTCAGTTCCCAGCATATACATGGTGGCTCTGAAACATCTGCAACTATAATTCCAAGGGATCCAACACCCTCTTCTGGTCTCCATGAGCATCAGGCATGCACATAGTATATACATATGCAGGCAAAACATTCAATACATACTATCAAAACAAAGCCAATAAACTTAAACACTCATCGGACACATAATAACTTACAGAAATGTATCTTTTCATTTTTTTAGGTTCCATCAGAACATTTGCCTCCAAATTTCTAAATCATTTGTTAAAAGGACAATTCTTTTGCTATCTTAAAGGAAAAATTTGGTATAGCAAACTGAAATTTCCTTTCTCAGATAAATAGCTACCACCCCATTCATGTAAAGTAGTTCTCCTTAAAGATCCTCTCTTCATACTATTTTAGGATTATTTTAAAAATGCAAGATTACAATGAAGCAATCATTTATTTTGGCACTATGAAATTGAAAATTTTGATATTTTCATAAAAAATGGAATTAGTGCAACAATGGACAACTCCTTAGTTATCCATGAAAAAGAACAATAGAAACTAAACACAAATACCATAAATACCTGTCATTTAAAAAATCTCATAAAAGTCTTAATCCCTCCTAGGGCATTTAGAAATTTAAGTCTTAACAAAGAAAGAGGGAGGTGTAACTCTAATACTTGATGAAATTCTTAAAGCAGTTTCTCCTCGAGTTGATTTCTGGAAGAGAAACAGAAGAGAAAGAAAGCAAAGAACAAACAGCAGTGTTGAAACTACATGCCCCCCCACACACTCAAAAAAGCTATGTGCTTGGGAGATTCTATCTAATAAGGAGTAACCAAAGACATAAAGCTAGGCTTTGTAAATGCAGTTACTCTAGTAGATTAATATTCAGTAACCCATGTTTTACTTTGAATTATCAGAATGTTACGTACAGAGGCCAAGAGGCTTCTACAGTAGAGTCCCCAAGAAATAATAAACATTTCTATTTTTTTTCAAACAAAGTATTCAGTAACTCTTAAGAGTAACTTTTCTTATCCTTTAAAATACAATCTAGACACACCCACACATGTTGGCAAGAGACAAAGTTCAAGGTTCGAGGTTCTTGTGATTTCATGTAACCTTCAGTTCTATTCCAGATCCTCTTAAATAAAAATACAAACAACCCAATAACCCAGGATCTCCACCACTCTAAAGCTAAGAAGGAGGGTTCTACATTCCAATTCCTGAGCCCACACATCTGCTCTTGCCACTGTTGGTCTTTATTTTTCCTCCTGGGGTTGCAAGAACAGAGGCTCTTTCATTTAACATGAGTATGCATTCAGCTTTCACCTCAGTTTACCCAGTCCTCTGCAGACATACTAGAAATTGTTATGCTCAGTTAACAATTGGCAAATGAATCAAGAAAATAATATCCTATGAAGAGGCAGCAACTTAGGTGCCACATGTCCTTTTACCAGTCTGAAAGTAGTGGGTTTTAGAGGGACAATCTCTTGAAGGAAAAGAAAAAGTCAAAATAAGAATCAATATGGGGGGCATGTCCCACACTACATTAAATAAAAACACCCACACACACCAAAAAAAGGAAGAAGGGGAAGAAGAAGAAGAAGAAGAAGAAGAAGAAGAAGAAGAAGAAGAAGAAGAAGAAGAAGAAACAAAAATCATTTGTATCATTGTTCCTGACTTTCTATTTTCTTTTAATGTTCTATGCCCTGCCTACATGCTCTCAGAATAATTCCATTACAGTGGTTTCAGAATAATCTCAGTACCTCAAGAGTCTTCCACTCCCTTCCCAGCAGTACCCCATGCTTTACAGAAACGCAGTGCTTCCCCTCAACTCGGTACTTAGAGCATATTTGTAAACTGCCTCACTCTTGATAGCCTGAAAGTCACTGATTTGATTTGATTTGATTTCACCTATCCGTGAAATCCATAAATCTCCTCCCATCTACCTAAACTCGGTAGTTTTCCTTTTCTTTTAGAAACGAAATATGGCACTAATGTCTCAAGGCAAACAAAGCTAACTCCAAGGAAAAAAATGAAATCGACGCAACAAAGGAAGAAAGGAAAGAAGGGGGAGGGTGTAGTGGGCGATGCTTGCGTCTTCTAAGGAGAAGCTTCCAGTGTAACTTCTGCAATTAAACGGTTCTGGGGCAGAGGGGTCTAGTGTGTTGGAAAACAACAAAGGTGGGCTCCCACTCTCCTTACCGCCGTAGAGCCAGAAGAAGATGCAATATATACACGGATCACCATCCTGGAAACAAGAGCTTGTAGTCGGTCGCTGGAGTGTTGAAAAGGGCTGAGAAACAGCTGCAGCAATGCTGGAACAGAGCAAGGGGCCAAACAGAGGTTGGAAGAAGAGGGTGGGGGAAGGTGGAAGGGGAACTGGCCAGAGCCCCGCCTCCACCAGTGGCTGCTTTCAATGAGCTTCCAGCACTGCAGTCCCAGCCCCAAACCCCGGAAGGCTCAGGCTTATTTGCATCATTTCTAAATTGTTTTTTTAAAACACAGGATCTCGAACTGCACCGCGAGATCTGTTAAAACAATTCTTTTTGACTATTCCTTCTCCTGGAACGGGGCGAGGAAGAACTAATATAAGGAGCGGGGGTGGGGATCCCTGAATTGCACTAGGTTAGGATAAAGGACCCTTTCCCTTGTACACCAGAAGTTTTGCGTGTTACTTCCTGCTCAGAAATGTATGCAAATAACATAGTTGAAAGCTAGCTTTGTGTTGAATCCAAAAACTAGTTTAATTTTTTTAAACCGTGTTATCAAAGCCTTGTGTATTTTAAGATGCCTACAAAGAAGTGAGTGATTTTTTTAACCTTAGTTGGTTGCAGGAATTCAGTGAAATGCAGCGCGATGTGGAGGAGGGCTGAAGAGAAGTTTCAAGTTTCCCTAGACCGGAAAGGGCAGAATAGGTTTTCTTTTTGTCTGGGCTTTTGTTCAAATAAGAAACAATCCTTTGGTGGAAATTTGCAGGAGATATAATCAACAACTGTAGAATGACGGAGGAAATTGCAGAGAAAAAAATTAATCAACAACTCTTAGAATGAAGGAGGAAATTGCAGGGAAAAAAATCATCAGAAAATACTTAGAACGAACTTTGTGCCTTGGTGTTTCATACCTGTAATCTCTGCACTTGGGAGGTGAGATTTGATTGCCAGGAATTAGAAACGGGACTATGCTAAAGAGTGAAACTATTAAAAACCAAAAGCAAACAAAAAGACTTCCTACAAATTATCGAGTACAGTAAATTAGTTATCTAGCTGCCATCCTCATCATCAACAACACAGTTACTGTTAATTTTACTTCCCAGAGCACATGACAAGGAAAATTTTTATAACTATAAATCAGAATCATAATCATGATTTCAAAAAAAATCTATAGTTTCTTTCACATTAACGCTGTACAACTTCTCTCTTTTTGGAGTTCTATATTAATTGATTGGACTCTTAAAATAATGGAAAAAAGAAACAGGCCGGGCAGTGGTGGCGCATGCCTTTAATCCCAGCACTCAGAGAAACCCTGTCTCGAAAAAACAAGAAAGAAGAAAGGAAAGAAAGAAAGAAAGAAAGGAAGGAAGGAAGGAAGGAAGGAAGGAAGGAAGGAAGGAAGAGAACAAAGTATTTCTATCTAGTCTATAAACTATTGAATGCAATTAATTATTCCCAGAAAACTGAATAGTGGCATTAGCAGATTATCTGATAGGTCTTGTCTATACCTTAGAGAAATGGAGCTGGACATGTAGCTCCCTTACAGATCACATCAAGGCCCAAGGTTGGATCTCTAGTACTATACACACACACAGAGAAAGACACACACACACACACACACAGAAAGACACACACACACACACACACACAAGTGCGTGCGTGTGTAATAAATGTTATATTCACCTTAGAGAATATGAGTCAATAAATGGTGTTATAAATCAAATCTGCTGTTCCTTAATGATAAGACTTCTGGTTATTTTTAAGGGAAACTGTTAGCAATGCCTCTAAGGTAAGATAATGGATATTATTATATTATCATAATTGTTCTTCACTACATTTACTTGTCCTTAAGATGCATATTCTGGAATGGTCAGCCTAGAATGGTCATTTCTGCTTGATTTGATTTGTCCATTTAGAAACCATCCTAGATCACTCGCTTTTATTATTTGGCTGGAAAGATTACAGTCAGTTTGTACAAACTGGAGCGGATAAGAGTTTTCAAATAACACATGTAATCTATTCCTATAGAAAACCATGACAGCCAATTGTCAATGCATTTCAAAAATTAAAAATAAACTCATACCATGTACAAAAAAATTATAAAATATTGAACACTGTGGCATGTGCCTATAGTCCCTGATACTCAACTAAGAAGATTATTCGTGTTCGGGAGTGCCAAGCCAGCACAGGCAACATAATGAGATCTTGTCTCTCAATTGAGCACAGCCCCAGTACCTAAAGATAATGTCTACTGTGTGACATATCAGCCTTTCCAGGAAGAGGGGGTACAGCAAGGAAGGCGTACAAGTTGAATGTAATGGTAGGGATTTTACATTTTATTTATTATAAAATGCTATTTTGTAAAATTTTACCTACGTAAATAAATTTATGTAATTCTCCCGTGTTAGAAAATATGATTTTGAGTGATTTTATGAGTTTCAGATTTATAGGCATACCAAAAGTTATATAAACAACTGTCTTGGCTAGTTATTTTCCCTGCTTGACCCAAGCTAGCTTTTTCTGGGAAGACGTACCACAAGTGAGAAAATGCCTTCATCAGATTGCCTGTAGTAGTCTGTGGAGACTTTTCTTGATTAATAATTGCTATGGGAAGGCTGAGTCCATTGTGGGCGGTGTCATCCCTGGGATGATGATCACAAGTGCTATAAGAAAGCAGGCTGTGAGAGGCCAACAGGGGACTGATCCACACTCCATGGATGTAGTCTCAGTGAGGTGGCCACAGAAATCACTGGGGCCTTGGGTAGTAGATCAGTGTTTACCATGGTTTATGAATGAACTTTGGGAGCCCACTCCAAATAGGGGGATGCTCTCTCAGCCTGGACACATGGGGAAGGGCCTAGGTCCTGCCCTGGATGAAATGACAGACTTTAGAGATCCCTCAAGGAGGGCCTCACCCTCCCTGGGGAATGATGTGGGGATTGTGTGGGGGGCTGGTGGAGGGACAGGGGAGGAGGGGTGGGAGAGGGAGCTGGGATTGACATGTGAAGCATTCATGCTTCTAATTTAAATAAAAGCATTACAAAAAAGAAAGCAGACTGAACAAGCTATGGGGAGCAAATCAGTAAGCAGCATCCTCCATGGCTTCTGCATCAGCTCCTGCCTAGCAGCATCCTCCATGGCTTCTGCATCAGCTCCTGCCTAGCAGCATCCTCCATGGCTTCTGCATCAGCTCCTGCCTAGCAGCATCCTCCATGGCTTCTGCATCAGCTCCTGCCTAGCAGCATCCTCCATGGCTTCTGCATCAGCTCCTGCCTAGCAGCATCCTCCATGGCTTCTGCATCAGCTCCTGCCTAGCAGCATCCTCCATGGCTTCTGCATCAGCTCCTGCCTAGCAGCATCCTCCATGGCTTCTGCATCAGCTCCTGCCTAGCAGCATCCTCCATGGCTTCTGCATCAGCTCCTGCCTAGCAGCATCCTCCATGGCTTCTGCATCAGCTCCTGCCTAGCAGCATCCTCCATGGCTTCTGCATCAGCTCCTGCCTAGCAGCATCCTCCATGGCTTCTGCATCAGCTCCTGCCTAGCAGCATCCTCCATGGCTTCTGCATCAGCTCCTGCCTAGCAGCATCCTCCATGGCTTCTGCATCAGCTCCTGCCTCCAGGTTCCTGCCTTGAGTTCCTGCCTTGGCTTCCCTCAGTGATGGATTGTGACCTGACAATATAAGATGAAATAAACCCTTTCCTCCCTAAGTTGCTTTTGTTCATAATCTTTATAACAACAATGGAAACCTAAGACAACACTTCTCTATTATTGAGCATATTGCTTGTTTTCAATTATTCTGTAATGCTATAGTGCATATCTCTAAATGTTTATCTGAATCTCTAAGAATTTCTTAGGAATGTTACAGTGATATGGCTCAGCAGGTAAAAAAAAAACCCTCACTCCAGGTAAACGTTTGCTCCTGGAACCCACAAGGGAAGGAGAGAACGGATTCCGAAAAATCGTCCTTTGATCTCTGCATATACACCATAGCACATGTGTGACCATGCAGACATGACTACCCCTCACACACACACGTCATGCACATCATTCACACACAATAATAATAATAATAATAATAATAATAATTTTACAAATTAATTATTTAATGAAGAATTTTAGCAAACTGAATAGACACTAGAGATTACAGTTACAATGATATATAATGTAAGCCTAGTATCAACAGTGACTGGGATGGAAAAAGACTATTAATTGAAGAACTAGCTAATGTTACCCTAGTAATGATGATTACATTTTTGGGTTGCAGAGAATAGTCTGAATACAATCCTTTTATATTTTTATTTGTATTAATGTGTGTGTGTGTGTGTGCGCACGCGCGTGCGAGTGCATGCCTGTGTAAGTGTGTTTGTGACTTGTGGCCTGCACTCACAGGAGGTCTTAGAAGAAACGGTGGGAGTCAGTTCTCTCCTGCCACACTGTGTGATCCAGGAATCAAACTTAGGTCAGAAAGTCTACCTTCAAGGGTGGAGGCATAAGACCTCCTGTATGAGCAGGACAGAGGGAGGTGGTCAGGGGTTATTTAGAGTTTCTTCTACCAAGGAGGTTAAATGTTTGGACTGAGTAGGAAAATAGCATTTTCTAGGATGAGCAATATGGCTCAGCGTGTAAAGGGGTTTGTTACCAAGACTGATGACCTGGGTTTGATTCATGGGATTCACATGGTGGAAGAACAGAACCCCAACCTCCACTCCCATGGCAAGGCATGGCATGGCATGGGTGTGTCCTTTCATGCACATACATGCACATATACACACAGGGATAGGGACAGAGAGACACAGAGACTCAATAAATAAGCAAGTAAATCTAAATAAGAGAAAAGGTTTTCTTTTTCTCTGGGTTTGTGTGTAAAGGTGAATCTCCCTGGAATTTCTAATCCTGAGCAGAATATGAAAGTATATAAACAGCCTCTGCTTGAAAAGGAAGACATGCTCTCCTGAAGGGTCAGTCAGTTCAGACAAGGGAATGGGAAGTACACCCAGGGAAAAGATCAAATTAGAAGGAGAGTCATCTCATTATGAAGTGGGCTCTCAAGTGAGTAGAGAGAAGACTTTTTAATAAGAGTGATAGAGTGGAATTGGAACACGAGATGGACTCTCTGGATAGAGGCTTCCTCTAGTCCTCACCCTAGGTCAACTTAGCAAATCACATCCTGCAGAGGAGACTGAGCTTCTTCTCTATGGAGCCCTACGTCAGGAGCGAGTTCTTCAGCCTTGATGCTTTTAAA